TCAAGATTTTTTCTTTATGTTTGATTTTCTGACATTTAAATATGACATGCCTACATGTAGTTTTTTTTTTTTTTTAAAGATTTTATTTATTAATTTGACAGAGAGAGACACAGCGAGAGAGGGAACACAAGCAGGGGGAGTGGGAGAGGGAGAAGCAGGCTCCCCGCAGAGCAGGGAGCCCGATGCGGGGCTCGATCCCAGGACCCTGGGATCATGACCTGAGCCAAAGGCAGACGCTTAACGACTGAGCCACCCAGGCACCCCTACATGTAGTTTTTAAAAAAAAAACAAAAAACATTTTTCCTGCTTAGTGTTAGCTTGAGTTTTCTGGATCCATGGTTTGGTATCGACATTAATTAATCAATTAATGACTAATTCTTAGTCATTATTGCTTCAAATATTGCTTCTGTTCCTTTCTCTCTTTCTTTTTATGCTGGTTTCCCATGACATTTATGTTACACCTTTTATAGTTCCACAGTTCTTGGATATTCTGTTGTGTTATTTTTCACCTTTTCTCCTGTTTGCTTTTCAGTTTTGAAAGTTTCCATTGAAGCTTATACTATCTTTACATTCAGAGATTCTTTACTCAACCATGTCCAATCCACTAATGAGCTCATCAAAGGCATTCTTCCTTTCTTTTACAGTGTTTTTGATCTCTAGAATTTTTTTATTTTTTTCTTAGACTTTCCATCTCTTTGCTTATAATATCAGAGAAAAATTGCCAATATTTAATGTGAGAACCTGGGATAACTCTTGGAGTTAAAACTCACAAAAGTCTGAGGGTCCCCCATGAATGGAGATTTTAATTCTCAGAGTTGTCCACTCTGAGCCTCCAGCAATTCATCAATTACAGTTCAGGTTTTCTTATACCATTCCTGGTTCCCCTAGAGGTAACAGCTCTGGTAAGTTGTGATTCTCTGTCTTTCTGTCTTCCTAATTTGGGGGAGGGGGGGCATTGGTTTGCCCTGTGACCTCATTTCTCTAATGCATCTTTATTCATCAAAATTATTCATTTTTCAGTTTGTTCAGGTTTTAACTTACTGTTAAACAAGTGGCAACTTGTGGCAACTTCTGAGCTCCTTAAATGCTGGACTGGAAAACAGAAGAACTCACATAGATTTTCTCTTGTATTTTCTTCTCTGAGTTTTCATCTATAAAGTTTTACATTTTTCGTTTAGATCTTTTCATTCATTGAGTTAATTTTTGTATCACATTTGAGGTATGGATCAAGATTGATTTTTTTTTCCTTTTTGCATAAGGCTATCCAGTTATTCCAGCACCATTTATAGAACAGATTATCTTTTCTTCATTGAATTGCTTTTGTATTTTTATCAAAAAATCACTTGACCAGATATGTGTGGGCCTATTATTGGACTCTGTTCCATTGTTCTCTCTGTCTCTTCTTTTTCTAGTATGACACTGAATTGATTACTGTAGCTTTGTAGTAAATGTGGAAATTAAATCATGACCTCCTACTTTGTTTTTTGGTTTGATTCTTCTATTTCCTTTGCTTCTCCATATAAATTTTGGAATCACTCTGTCAATTTCTATAAAAAGAAAAACCCCATTAGAATTTTGTTAGAGGGGGCGCCTAGGTGGTGCAGTTGGTTGTGTCTGACTCTTGGTGTCGCTCAGGTTGTGATCTCAGGGTGGTGAGATTGAGCCCTCGTCAGACTCTGTGCCCAGTGCACAGTCTGCTTAGGACTCTCTCTCCATCTGTGCCCCTCCCCCACCTCCTTGCTCTCATTCTCTCAAATAAATAAATCTTTTTAAAAAAATTTGTGTTTTGAATTTCATTGAATCTATAGACCAATTTAGGGAGAATTATAGAACAATTTGGGGAAGCATCTTTAAAATACTGAGTTTTTTAGGGATGCCTGGGTGGCTCAGTCAGTTAAGCATCTGCCTTCAGCTCAGGTCATGATCCCGGGGTCCTGGGATCAAGTCCTGCACTGGGCTCCTTGCTCAGCAGGGAACCTGCTTCTCCCTCTGCCTGCCAATCCCCTTGCTTGTGCTCACTCTCTCTGACAAATAAAAAAATAAAATCTTTAAAAAATAAATAAATAAAATACTGAGTTTTTCAGTTCATTTCATGAACATGGACTATCTCAGTGTTGTGTAGTTCTTACGTACAGATCTTGCACATTTTTCTTTAAAGATTTTATTTATTCATTTGAGACAGAGAGTGAGAGAGAGAGAGCACAGGAGCAGGGGGAGAGGCAGAGGGAGAGGGAGAAGCAGGCTCCCTGCTGAGCCAGGAGCCCAACATGGGGCTTGATCCCAGGACCCTGGGATCATGACCTGAGCCGAAGGCAGACGCTTAAACGACTGAGCCACCCAGGTGCCCCTTGCACATTTTTTAAAATTTTTTATTTATTTTTTAGTAATCTCTGCACCCAGGTGGGGCTCGAATTCACAGCCCAGATCTTGCACATTTTTAAAGATTTATACCCAGGTATTTAATATCTTCAGATGCTATTATAAATTGTATTATTTTAATTTTTATTATTTTTAAAGATTTTATTTATTTGAGAGAGCGAGAATGAGAGAGAGAGCATGAGCAGGGAGAGGGGCAGAGGGAGAAGCAGACTTCCTGATGAGGAGGGAGCCCAAGAGCGGGGCTCGACTGGGGACTCCGGGATCACGACCTGAGCGGAAGGCATTTAACCAACAGAGCCACCCAGGTGCCCCAATTTGTATTATGTTTTAATTGCCATTTTTAATTTTTTTCTAATGTATAGAGATATGATTGATTTTTATATATTGACTTGCATCCTGCAACCTTGCTATACTCACTTAGTTCTAGTAGCTTTTTTGTAGATTACTTGGAATTTTATACACAGTCATATTGGTCTGAAAATATAAAGTCTTATTTTTCCTTTTTGATCTGATGGTTGTTAATTTCTTTTCCTTTATTTTACTGGCTAGAACCTCCACCAAGATTTTGAATAGGAATGATGAGAGCTAATCTTCTTGCCTTGTCCTGATCTTGGGGATGAGGGTGGGGGTAAGCATTCAGTCTTTTATGATTAAATATGTCATGATTTTTGTAAATACTAAGAATGACGAAGTTCCCTCTCTTCCTGGCTTTCTGAGAGACTTTTTTATCATGAATAATTGTTGAGTTTTGTCAGGTGTTTTTCTGAATATATTGAGATGGTCATTTGCTTTTTCTTCCTTAGTTTATTGATATGGTGAATTATATTGGTTAGTTTTTGAATGTTGAATTAGCCTTGCATTCCCAAGATAAACCCTACTTGGTTATAATCTATTATTTTATGTATTGTTTGAGTTGCTTGTATTTTTTGAGGATTTTTGCGTCTCTGTTTATGAGAGATACTGGTCTTTAGTTTTCCTTTGATATATCTTTTATCTGGCTTTGGTATCTTAATAATGCTGGCTATACTAAATGAGTTGGGAAATGTTCCTTGTTTTTCTGTATTTTTGAAAATCTGGTGTAGAATTGGTATTATTTCTTTCATAAATGTTTGGTAGAATTCACCATGAAGTCATCTTAGTCTGTAGATTTAAATAGATATAGGAGTATGCAAGCTATTGATTCCTTTTTAGATAAACTTCACAGTTTATATATTTCAAAGAATTTGACCATTTCATCTAAGTTATCAAACTTAGGACATAGAGTTGTTCATTGTATTTACTTACTATTATTAAGTATCTGTAGGGTTTATAGTGATATCCCCCTCTCATTCCTGATATTTGTAATTTGTTTCTCCTTTTTTTTTCTTGGTCAGCCTAGCTTATCAATTTTGATCAACAGTAGTTATTATAAGTACTCACTATGTGTCATATACCTTTTAAAGAGCTTTATTATATTCTATTTGAACATCCAAGACTATAAGATACATTCCATTGTTATGCCCTTTTATAAATGAATAAACAGAGGCCAGAACATATTAGGAAACTTGCCTATATATGACAACCAGAATGACAGATCCAAGATTCAGGATCCAAGTCTGTGTGACTCCAAAGCCTTTGCCTTTTTATTTATTTTTTTTGTTTGTTTATTTTAGAGAGCACGCACGTGCACAAGTCGGGAGAGGGCCAGAGGGGAAGGGAGAGGGAAAGAATCTCAAATAGACTCTGCGCTGAGTGCTGAGCCCACTGTGGGGCTCAATCTCATGACCCCAAGATTATGACTTGGGCTGACACCAAGAGTCAGATGCTTAACTGATGGGGCCAGCCAGGTGCCCCCAAAGCCTTTGCTTTTGACCACTCTGGTATAAAGGATGAATCAAAACCAGAAAAGACATATTAAAGGAGTCTTCTTTCTCACGCTGTGACTAGGAGCAAACTTTTCATTTTCATCACTGGACTCTAATATCTACTGTTTTCTGTCTTTGGACCCCTCTCTATAAACAGCATATAATACAGAACCTCTTGTCAGAAGATCTCTGGAGATCTGTTTGCTCCTTCTGTTCAGTGAGGGTCCCTACCAAGGAAAGAGAAAATTTGGAGACTTCCAGTTGCTATAAAATACTCAATAACACATCTTATATTTTCAGAACATAGGATCTTCTGAGGCCTTCCAGTGCCTGGACACCAGAAATAGTTGTCCTGATGCCATCCATTTTTTTTATTGAAGTGTCGTTGACATACAATATTATATTCATTTCAGGTATACAACATAGTGATTCAACATTTATATACATTATGAAATGCTCACCATGATCAGTCTAGTTACCATCCGTCACCATACAAAGTTATTACGATATTATTGACTATATTCTCTATGCTGTACTTTACATCCCTATGATTCATTTGTAAGTTTGTACTTCTTAATTCCCTTCCCTTATTTTGCCTATCCTCCCATTCCTCCTCCCCTTGGGAACCACCAGTTCTCTGTCTGATGCCATTCCTTCTTGACAGATTAGAAATAAAAGCATTGACTCTTTTCCATTTAAAATGTAGGTACTTTCCCCTTATAGGTATAAAATATGCTTTTGAAAATAAAAGCTGACATAGCTTGCTTGTTTCCTTAGGTCTGACGGTAACTGCTGTGAAAGACTCAGGAGAATGGAATTTGGAGGCTGGCGCATTAGTACTTGCAGATGCGGGCCTTTGCTGTATCGATGAGTTTAACAGCCTCAAAGAGCATGATAGAACCAGTATCCACGAGGCAATGGAGCAACAAACCATAAGTGTTGCTAAGGCTGGGTAAGAGTTTCTTTTCTTTAAAATCTACGGGAATAATGAGATTAGTTAACAATGTGATTGTGGAAAAAGGTGAACCTTACTGAACTGCAAGGTATGTTTGGTCTTATCAGGGATTATCAGTTACATTCATCAAGACACACATTAGCATCCCCACGGAGGTGTATGAGGAAGTAAAAATGAGTTGTTGGGACAAAGAAAGGAAAAACTAAAGTATAAATGTAAGTTGACTTAATTCAGGGAGGGGACTTATGAAGAGCTTTCTTTCAATGCAGGATCCAACATATTCTCTCATTCAGTAATGTATATCTACTTACTATGTTAGGAATTTTTAAAGATTCAAAAAGAAATAACATGATTTCTGCTTTCAGTGGCATTCTCCTTATCTATCCTAATAGAAGGTTGATCATGGCATGTGGAAAACTAAATAATAAAATACATTAGTAAAATGAAGTGCCTATTGTGACGCAAGGAGGTGTAGGGGTTGAGGTATGTGAGTCACTTGCAACATAGCACCACTGAGGAGGAAAAATGGGCAAGTCAGATAGAAATCCATTCACCCAGGCCCTGAGATGGTTATGAGAAACTTACCTGGCTACAAAGGCTGACCACCAAGTGGTCTGCCGGATCATCCGAAGGACAGAGCTGGAACTATCTCAGCCCTAATGCTACTATTATAGGTGTGAGGCCAGTTGATCAGGCAGGTGGGCTGCCAGCAGAGTCTTCAAACAGTAGTGGGCATGAAAAGGGATGCTGGTGTATATAGAGTCTGTGAGATCTAATTATATACACTTGGAAAGAAAAAGGGGGGTGTGGGTGGGTGAGAGGATAGAGCCCGTAGGGAAAAAAATGCAAGAAAAAGCTAGGTAGAACAATGACCAGATCTATTCGTTTCATTCAATATACAATGACTCAGTGTATATTCATGAAGAGCCTGCTATATACCAGGCACTGTGCTAGGTCTCCAACCCATGGGCTTTTGGCGGAAGAGTAGAGGCAAAAAAACCCAAAACCTTTCTACTTCAGGAAGAGGTTAGATTAGGGCATCTTCCTTCCCTCCCACAGGAGCTAGACAAAATGGCCCTTCTGGGAGAAGGGTAGAAGCAAAAGCCTTCTTCTCCTGAGGGAAGGGCTGGAAACACTCTTCAGGTCCAGGATCCTGAACCAAGGCAAAACAGTGGTCTGTACCATCGGGAAAGGGACAGAACAACAACTCCTGCCCAAGGACCACCACAGATACATGGCAGGGTTCTGCTGCCACCAGGTGGGAGGGACAGAAGAGCTTACAGCTTTCTAGCCCATCCCATCCAAAAGCAGGCTCATAGACCCTGTCTCAGACCAGGAGCCCAAAAACCAACCTGGCCCCCAAATAAGCCTAACACCTAGTAACAAGCAGTCTGTCAGTGGGGAAGGTGCAGTAATATGGAAAGAGACCCCACTGTGGTGAGTTGTGTGGTGACTGCTGAAAGCTGAAGGTAGAGTAGGAACACTGAGAATGATCTTCCAGCACTGCGCTACAACCCCCATCTAGATGCACAAAGTAACACAGCTCAACAATGAAAGAATTCGAAATGTCTAGTGCACTGAGGGTAAAGATGACAACAGTGCCAATACCCAGATCAACTGTCAGGGCCTTACAGACACTAATGGCCTTACGCTATACACGAAGTGGTATAATATCATTTGAAGGTAGACTGTAAGAAGTTAAAGATGTAAACTCTAGAACAACCACTAGAAAATGAAAGAGGTGTAACTAATAAACCAGTGGTAGAGGTAAAATGGAATCATAAAAAAATAACAAAAGAATGCAGGAAGAGAAGAAAAGGGGAACAAAGAATAGATGGGACAAATAGAATGCAATTAGCAAGATGGTAGATACAAATTCAACCATATCAATGATTATATTAATAATCACATAAACAATTAAAAGGCAGTAACTGTCAGATTGGATAGAAAAGCAAGACCCAACTAAATGCTGCCTTCAAGAAACTGACTTTAAATTCAAACGCATAGGTAAGTTAAAAGGATGGGGAAGAAATATTCCGTGGAAATACCAAAACCTGACCAAGACATTACAAGAAAATAAAACTACAGAATGATACCCCCATGAACATAAGACATGAAAACTCTTTTCTGTTTTTTCTAAAGTAGGCTCCACACCCAATGTGGGTCTTGAACTCACACTCCTGAGATCAAGAGTACATGCTCTATCGACTAAGCCAGCCAGGTGCCCCATGACATGAGAGTTCTTAATAATACTTTAGTAAATTAAATCCAGCAGTATATTAAAAAGATTTTACATTATAACCAAGTGAGGATCATCCAGGAATGCGAAGTTGATGTAATATTTGAAAATCAATCAATGTGAATTCACAATATTAACAGAATAAAAAAGAAAACATCCCTATAGGTGCAGAAAAAGTATCGGACAAAATTAAATACCCAATAATGATAAACATTATCAGCAAATAGGAAGAGAAGTCCATCTGCCTGTTTAAATATCATCTATGGAAAACTTAAAAGAAACATTTCATACTTTATGATGAAGTGAAATGTTTTCCATTTAAGTTTGGGAGCAAGTCAAGGATGTCCAGTCTTACTACTTCTGGCCAGTATTGTAGTGGAAGTCCTAGTCAGTTTAGTAATGCAAGAAAAAGAAATAAAAGACATTCAGTTTGGAAAGGAAGAAGTTAAAACTGTCTATATGACATGATTGTCTCCATAGAAGATCTCAAAAGAATCAATGAGAGAAAGGGTCACCTGGGTGGCTCAGTCGTTGGGCGTCTGCCTTCGGCTCAGGTCATGATCCCGGGGTCTTCTCCCATTCCCCCTACTTGTGTTCCCTCTCTCGCTTTGTCTCTCTCTGTCAAATAAATAAAGTCTTAAAAAAAAAAAGAATCAATGAAAAAGGTATTAGAACTAATAAATGAGTTTTAAAAAGTCACAGATTGATGTGTAAAAATTAATTGTATTTCTTTGTGCTACCAATGAACAGTTAGAAACTGAAGTTAAAACATACCACTTAACAATAGTATCCACAAATAAGAAATGTTTAGGGATAAATCTAGTAAAATACATTCTAGATTTTTACAATGAAAACTGCAGAACATTGGTGAAAGAAATTAAAGAAGACCTAAGTAAATGGAGATACATACCAAGTTTCATTCATCAGAAGACAGTGTTGTTAAAATATCTGTTTTCCTCTAAGCGACCTATAGAATCTACAATTTCAATTAAAATCCCAGCAAGCTTTTTGCAGAAATCAACAAGCTGATTTTAAATTTTATATGGAAAAGCACAGGAACTAGAATAGCCAAAACAGTTTTGAAAAAGAACAAATCTGTAGAACTTACTTATTTCAAGATTTACTATAAATCTGCAATAATCAAGGTAGCATAGCATTGGTGTAAAGATAGACATAGATCAATGGAAGAGAATACAGGTCCAGAAATAGACTCACAGGTATAAAGTTAGTTGATTTTCAAGAACAATGCCAAGATAATTCAATGAAAAAAGGATAGTCATTTTTTAAAAATGGTGCTAGAACACTTGGATATTTATTTACAAAAAATGACTTGCACATAAATGCTTATAGAACCTTTAGTCATAATCACCCAAGATTGAAAATAGCCCAGAAATCCATCAACTGGTAAATGGATAAACATTTTGATAAATTCATACAATAGAATACTACTAGAAAGATAAAAGAACAAACTATTGATACATGCAACAACATGATTGAATCTTAAAAGCGCTATGTGAAGTGAAAGATGCCAGGCACAATGACTACTTAGTTTATGATTCCATTTATATCATATTCTAGAAAAGGTAAAATTGTAAGAAGAGAAATCAAATCAATGGTTGCCAAGGATTGGCCATTAGGAGAAGAGATTGACTGCAGAGGGGCACCTAAAAAAGTTGGATTTTACTATATGTAAATTATACCACAGTAATCCTTAATTTAAAAAATATGTAAACCCATGTTTTTAATTTTTATTTTTTCCATATATTTTATTTTTAGATTCAACAGACATGAAATCACTCTGTGAAATTGCTATTGAAATTTCTAAACACTTACTTTTTTTGTACTTATCTCTTCCCTGATTGGTAACAGTGTATGGACAGGTACAAGTTCATGGCCCAAGCTTTGACTGCTGCTGGTGGGCTTGGATGGTAAGCTACCATCCATAAGGATGGATGAAGGGAATGGAAAGGAACAACAGTACCAAGGAGAGATGATACATTTATCATTAGTAAAACCCTTTTTTTAACTTGTACTGACATCTTCTAAAGGAAATAATTTTAATGAATAATTTTCAGATTGGATTTCTTTGTCTGTTGGGAAAGGAGACAGTTTATAGCTAGAAAGACGTGTGCTACTCATATTTACAGTTTTAAATTATTTCTCCTTTAATCCATTTGTCAAATATATAATATGTACTGAAAGGAGTTTTGCATGAGAAGCACTTTGAATGCTTTGATCATATGAACTTTTCTTAAGGACTTACTTTTTTGACCATTGTACCACAGTAGATATTGATATTATGGTTATTATTATGGTGAACATTTGTATGATTATCTTTTCAAGATAAAATTCTTCAAATGTTTCTCTTTTGTCTTGGCTACTATCCAGACCTTAATACCTCTTTGAACTGTGGCATGGATCAGACTTGATATTTTAGCCTTTCAGCTTCTTTACATTTATGCAAGAATTTTTATTTTTTGAAGCTTTTTGGCATATCTATTTTACTTAAAGATTACTATAATTTACCACATTCCAGGAATTATAGGATCTTTGTTCTCTTCTAGTTATTATCATTACACTAGTTCTTATTCATCCAGGTGTGGATGTTGGTGGCATTCTGATTTGTTCCACACCCTACATAACTATTTCTGGATTCATAAAGATATTTATACCATTCAATTTTTATCATGCATTTTAAGACATAGTTTGTAAATGTTGCATAACTGTATTATTATGTAATGGTTTGTTTTTTAAATTT